CGAATCAAATCCTTGTTCACATTTCAGTTAATGAGAGACATAGAAAAACACTTATACACTTTCATAGATAATAAAAGAAGAATTAATAATAACACTCCCACTTTTGTTTAAAACAGAAATAATGAAGCTGTTAAAATCAGATGGTAATCATGAAACTAATTGAGATGTACATATGAGTGAATATTATTCGTGCAACTTGATGAAATCATCTATCAGAGGGAAATTAACGATTTGAGTTGAAGTCAGTTAAGTCAAAACAGCCAGTAGGCGTTGTAAAAGCAATGACAAAGAAACTGTTAGTTTGGCCATGATAAATTATTCAACTTTTTAAGTAGTAACTACTTTATTAAGAACTAGATAATGAAATATAAAGATGTACATATGAGTGAATAATATTTGTGCAACTTGATGAAATCATCTATCAGAAGAAAATTAACGATTTGTAAACAAAGATAAATGGTAGCTAGCAGTGAAATACAGTATAAATGTCAAATGCACTAGTATCCCAAAGTCAGTTTTCATTCTGGGACTCCAGCTGACGAGTCTCAGATAGGATGAAACCCGCGTCCTTGATGTCCTTGCTAACTACCATCTATCTTTTCTTACAATAACTAATATTATAAACGACTACAAGAGACTAAAACTATTGGTTTATAGGATAATATAAACACTTAAAATAAATTTTAGTCATTATAATTAAAAGGTGCAACTGCCTGGTAGATTTTTCTACAAAAAAATCAATGTAAGTTGGAGTTTCCAAATGAATAATTCAATTAATCGACGAGCGAGAAAATTAATTTATATTAAAATAAAATACGACAGAGTTTCTCTAATTGATTCCACACCGAATTGTCTGAGTGTTTCAAAGAAATTCGTTTTTTTTTGTTTCAAATATTATATACACTAAAGTGTATTGTAGATCAACATCAGTCTAGTTTTAAATCGGTAGCGAAACTTATTATAAGACCTTAGTCTTAGGGAATTTGAACATCTAAATATATCAAAATGGCGGTCTGTGGATATTGTAGTAATTTTTAATACTTGAATTCATGAGTTAGTTAAAGTCAAACCACCATGGAAAACCTAAAACACTGAATGGCCGTTTTGTCCTAGTATGGAATTCCTCAGCACTGAACATCCATGATTATTTTGTTATGCAGTACTAATCATGAATGATTAAACAAAGGACATTCTGATTTCCAGGGGATACGCCCAGAGCAATGAGTTAGAATATATTGGTTCACATGACAAAGTAAGGACAACCTGTGAAAAAAAGCGGATTATTATTAGGCTTTTCTTTTGACTACCTCACTTCTGAAATGTCACAACTTCATTATTTGTGAATTCTCACTAAGATTTCATAAATTCCTCTTGAAGCAACTCATTTGTAAGCATGTGATTAGTCATCAAGATTTTATTTCTACAATGTAAACTATGATAACAAAAATTTACGTCTCACATTGTAATAGTGCATATATATTTAGTCAAACTTTTACTGTATCCGATAAGTTTTCGGCTTAAAAGTGATTAAGATTATTTTCCAAAACATTACAGAAATAGGATTTAGATCTCAAAACGCTAAGAATAAAATCGTTTCTTCTTAGTTCATTATCAATTTTGACTAGTATATTAAAAGGATTTCGATTATATACTTTAATACAAAATATAGGGAATAGATTTATTTTGCCTAAAAGTGTTTTTGAACCAATATAAATTTGTCCATAAGCACATTAAGGATATGGTTAAGGAGGAATATGTGAAATGTTTTATGAATTGAAGTGATAGAGTTTATTTTCCGAAGATTATAGCTAAAATGTTTAGGCTGTTTACTACCATTTTGTTAATCATTAGTTGATAACAATAATTCTTCATACACCAGTCAAAGAAAGATAATTATCTTTTACAATATTATACTCAGTGTTCAAACGTACATATATTCATTTGAGTACATGCACTACAAAAAGGAATATTCACTTGTTTTAAAACTGAATTTAAAAAATTATCTAATATTTTCATATAGATTCATAGATTACTTAACAATCTTAAGACGTACTGTAGATATCTCCAAAAGTTGAATTCAGGAGGCAATTGAAGCTAGACCACCATGGAAAATCCGCCGTTTCGTCCTATTATGTAACTCCCCCGCAGTACGCAATCACGATCCCCCCTCGCGAGATTCCAACTCAGGACCCAATGGTCTTGCGCGTGAGCGCTTAACCTCTAGATCACTAAGCCGTTATCCAACGGTGTTAATGTCCAACTTCAACTAGTCCATAAAATTGAGCCAACGTTCACCATTATCAACAGTGAGTTACTGTCTCACAACAGACCCAGTTGAATTTCATTGGTCATTGCTTTCCATAAAGGTCTAGCTTCAACTGACTCATGAACCCAACTATAAAATTACTACAATCTCCACAAAACCCCTATCTGATAATAATCTACGAAAGTGTTCAATTCTGTAATAATTCACTTAATTCATTGATAATTATAGGACTTAAATTAGATCTTACTATTCAATGATTAATTTAGACTCACTTTAATAATTACATTTCTTACTTCATAGTATTAGAATAAATTTTCCTATTTATTAATTTCTTTTCTGTTTCATATTATTCAATTAACTCTATCGTTACTTGATTTACTTCATTTAAAGTTAACATCTATTACAAGCAACAATCCGACTACTGAATTCGAGCATAGCATATTATTATTGGTTTATGAATCTTAGGTGCTTGAAACTCACTAATCAGGCTCATCTTAGTGTGCTGTGCTTGACTTACTGATTTTGAGAATTAGCTTTACTGCTAAGCTTAATCAAATCAGAACAGAATGAATAGAGTGGGAACCGAAAACTTATCTTGATTTGATACTTCAAAAACTTTTTAAGCTTAATTTGTATTTACATAATTTAATATATTCGCCATGCGTCGATAAACTTCAAATGGCTCTCCTAAGCCTTTGATGATTATAAAAAGCCTAATCTCTTGGTCTAAACGTGAAAAAAAACAAGGATTACATGTTAAATGTTATCATCATTATGTCATACAAACAAACATCACGTCGTATCTTACTAATTAATAAATTTAGATTATATTTACTTGTAACAACCATTCCAAAGTACATTATAATATTCCACGTATGGTCCACATTTGATATAATGATAAATTTATGCTTTCCTAGCCTCATTTATTGACAGTATAGGTTTGCGGAGATTGTCGAGTTTAGATTGAGATAATGTATCGATCAATGTTAGACTACCACTAAAAACTTGGAAGGACTGAACAGTCGTTTCACTCTAGTATGGAACTCTTCAGAATTGAGTATCCACGGGGTTCGAACCCCGGACTTTTGGTCTGGCACTGAGCCGAGATCCAACGGCGTTAACGTTTGATTTAAACCAATTCACGATGTCGCACGGATATCTCCCATTGTCGTCGATGAGTAACTGGCTCAAACCCGATATAGTTGAACTTCGCTTGTCACGGCTTCACACTGGAACTCCGAGAATTCCCTTTGTAAGTTAGTCACTAGTGAGCACATGATAATTATCAGTCTAGGATTGTGGAAATAGTTCAAATTTATCATGTCGTAATTTATGTTTTCTGTTGGTGAATAAAGATCATTTTCTTTACACTGATATCATTTCATAATTGACTGATTCACTTCACAGTATATCTGATTAATCAATGATGTAAAAGCTAATTATCCAGATAGTTATCATATTTCCTCATATACGCATTATATACAATGAATAACCACATGTTACCATTCATTCAAGTATATTTCCTAACTGATAAAGCATTCATTTTGTGTTTTGATTTAAACTATTATTTACACATAAGTATTGTATTACATAATCACTTGCCATGAAGTTATCATTAACAAGCAGAAAGCATCAATTAAATTGTTTGTCAGAATTATTTATTATCAGAAGGGATTTTGTGGAGAATTGGTAAGTTCAATAGTTGAAATCATGAGTCAACCAGTGGAGTTCAACCAGGTCTGTTGTGAGATATCAGCTCACTGAAGACAATGGTGACGGTGGCACAACTTCGAGAATTGTTTATCTCAAAGATTATGAATTATGATCAAGAAAATGATTTCATCCATATCAATTAATTTATCTTGATTTCAGTGTTAAAGTTAATTGTTTCAATTTTACTCTAAAGATAGATATTACCATCCAATTTCAACAGTAATAATATCAATACATGAAATAACAGTAATGATCACTAATAAAATAATTCTTCATTTCAACTAAGTTATTTTAAACTTTGTCAATTTAAAATGTAATTTACAGTTGAATATGAACATTTATTTTTCATGTTCCATGGTAATTATTTGTGAATGAAAAGATCATTAATTTCCAATGTATCTTATCGAATTTTTCTTACAGTTCAATGTTTCGTATCATGTATATGTTCTTATTCTATGCATATTCGTGTATGTATTTAATTATATTTAAGTAGGTGCTTAGTAAAAATATCTTCTGAGATATTAAACTTGTTATTCGAATTTACAAGATTAGGAAAGACTAAGATTTCATTACATATGTACTTCATATTATGAAATAATAATAGAAAAAGAGCTATAAACAGAAATCATCAAAATAAGTTTCTGAAAGGGGGAATACAAACTGACTCACTAAACTGAATCAGATAGGTCTATTTATTAGAGCTATCACTGTTTCGGGTTCGAATCTCGTGAGGCGGAATCGTTGGATGCGCACTGCTGAGGAGTTCCACACTAGGACAATGCGGTTGTCCAATGCTTTTAAGATTTCCATGATGATCTAACTTCAAATGACTTATGAATTCAACTTTAAAATTACTAAAATCTCCACAAAACCCCCTTCTGATAATAATCTCTATAACAACTGATAAACGTACTAGACTTCTGTTCAATACATGACATATAACTTAATCACAAATAATGATCAAGATATAGATATATATATATATATATATGTATATATATATATATATATATATATATATATATATATATATATGAATTTTGTATTACTACATGACTATACTATGTTCTATATGTTAACATGCAAACAATAATCAAAATTTAAAATGAACATAACGAAGGAATAAATGAATGAATCTGAAATGAAATTATCAAATGATTATTAAAATTAAATAAGATATGTTTCTATAGAGAAAATATCATTGCATATGATGGAGCTGTACAATAAAAATTGAAAAAAAAATTTCTATAGAATAATATGTTTGTTTATTTCAAAGAAATCAATTGTAACGCTATGTTTTAAATTTTATTGATTAAAAAAGAGAAAGAAAAGAAAAAGAAGTAAAAAAGAAAAAAAAGAAAAGAAAACTATAAATTTATATTTGAAATGAACTAATGAATTACAAATTAAAAGTGATTTTTATTTTATTCTTTTACATCATTAACTAATATCTACTTGATATTATTGTAAAAATTAGTTATGAATGAAATCTTTTATTTTATTTTGTCTTCTTTTATTTTTCTTTTGTTTTAATGAAGAAAAGAAAGAAAAACATTAAGTCATAAAACAAAAGAGAAAAGAGGTAAATGTAAACATGAAACAATCATGTATATTTAATTGATTTATAATTTTGTATTACGTACAGTATTTAATTGAGATTGTTTATTACCTTGATAAATTTTTTGATCAGATTTATGTAGTTTTTTATTTATTATATCAGTTGATTGAGCAGAATTCGATTTAGGTGAATGTTTAGGATTAGTACGTTCTATTAATACTTGTGATGATTGAATATCTTGACGTAATAAATAAGGTGCAGTAAGTGGCATTAAAATAGCGCCTAATGGAGCAGTAATTAATATTGAAATTGCAGCCAATGTAACAACCTAGATAGGAATAAAAAAGTAAAACAATCATAAATATTATTATATCTTAGTGAAGATTACATTATGGGTAACTTCTGAGATCTATTAATGGACTAATATTATATATATATATTCCTACTGTATAGCTGTTCAGTAACTGAATTGTGTATATATATATTCATCTTGTTATAGCCTCATTTTACCTTATAATGTATTATTATCAGAAGGGGTTGTATGGAAATATCAACTCACTGAAGATAATGGTGTACGGTGGCACAACTTCGTGGATTGTTCGAAGTTAGACATTAACACTGTTGGATGCCGACCGTCTAAGTGGTCTAGTTGGTTAGGCGCCTGGCGCGAGACTGATAGGTCCTGGGTTCGAATCTCACGGGGAGCAGGACCGTGCAGTCCCATACTAAGACGAAACGGCCGTCCAGTGCTTTCAGGTTTATCATGGTGCTTTAGCTTCAATTGACTTATGATTTCAACCAATGAAATTTATAATGTATTATTATACGATTTACCGTTCTTAAGTTTTACCCAGTTTACTAATTACTGTCTCCCACATTCATAGCCACTTTTTGGTTTTATTATGTATGAATGTTATTTTCTATTTTATGGTGCTTTGCGGTCTGTTTGGCTAGTATATAAACCAAGTATATTTGAAAAAATGGATTCGCATAGAGGAAGCTGTTATGGGTGTCCTGGACTCAACTGGACGGGCTAGAGGAGCAAAGGACCAATAAGGATGTTAGGCTGATCAGACCTGTCAAACATCATTGGTTAGTACAATACAAGAGTGAATAAGTTGGATTTCTATTGGCGAATAAATTACGTGATAACAAGCCGGACTTAAAGTCACAACAAATATAGCACAAATTCTTGTTATATTTTTTTTCTAGATTTGCAGTGTAATACTTATAGTTTAGATGATTTAATAAAACTATATGCATAATCTATGTATCTAACATAGTAAATCGTGACTAAATGTTATAATCTAATTTTATAGACAATACTGTAATATGTCAAAGTCAACTAATAACCTAGAATTCGGTAATAAATGTATGTGAGTTAAAATTGTCACACTATATAAACATAGAAATATGAAATTATGAAGATGGATATAAAAGTAGTAGAATCATACATTACTGATACTAAAAAAAGAATTGACAAAATGAATATAATTCTAGAAGAGAGATGGGTTCATGGTAAAAAAGTTATTAAAAAAAATAATTGGAATTCAGAATCCACAAGTAAATAAAGAATTAATGGGTCTGTAAATATTTCCAATCACTAGTCATGGTGACTGCATAGACTCTAGATGAGTAGTTTACATCATGTGATATGGACTAAAATAATGGTTAATGAATACGACGACTGATCCAATTTCTCAGTTTAGTCCACTAATCTAATTTCCAATCTACCATCGACTCCAGCCAACATTGAGCGGTAAATCAAGTGGTATTCAGACTAAGAAAAAAATAACTTTTTCAAGTATTTCCATAGATGAATATGCATTACTTAGTCGATATTCTATACTTGTTAAATATCATAAACCAAAACTCTCCATTGCTCACTCTGCTTCCAAGCGATTTACGATTAAGTGTTAGAAACTTATTGATTTCCTTTATTTTGAAAGTAATCCAGTGTTTTGCTTTCTTTTCTATGAGTTACACAGTATACAAGAATGATTCATTCATAGTACTTTTACGTAATAAAATATTTGTCAGCCACTATGAAATAAACTATTTGAAAATGTTTATTTCCACTATGTAAATTTTGTTGTTTCCGCATTGTGGTTTTAATGAAGCTTCTAAATAGTATAACTCAGACCAACATCAAAATGTTTTGTAACTAATTAATATATCAAATCACTTTCCTAAAATGGATACTTTTTAGGTTAATCCAATTATCAATAGTTTACATTATAATAGTTAAACTATTTCAAAACCGAAAGATCATTTTGGAGGCTTGAGGTGTCAAAAGATACACATATATTTCTTTCATTTCTCCGTACAATTAAGCAATTGAAATGTAATTAGAAAGATTACTAAATGTCAATAAATACGTCATTGATTTTATTTCACTAGATCATGAAGATTTAGCATGAGGATTTGGTAACATGGAGTGAAATAACTAGGTAGTCAGTTCTGCTCTTCTTTATTCAATGAAACAAACAGTCAAATAGGCAGCAGATTAAATACGAGTACCATAATTTACATCATAAACTGATCATAGACGACCATTGAAAGCCAAAAAACACTGAACTGTTGTTTTGGCCTAGTATATAACTATTTAGAATTACGACCCTAAAAATGTATCAAACTCAGGATCTTAAGTTCTAGAAGCTAGCACCTGACCTCTAAACCACTGAGCAATTATCCACTGATTTATATTAATAACGCCATTAAAACCAGCAATATTTGTCTCACATCCTACATAATTAAACTCCATTAGTTACTACTTCTCATTTGAACTCCTAGAATTACATTTACAACCTAGCACTACTGGAAACATGATTAGTATCATTTACATAAGAAAATTGCTTTACAACAATAGAAGGGTTTGAAGCAAATCAACACTCACCTGTTCCCCCCAATCAATTATTTCTGCGTTCGAATTCAATTGTCTAGCTGTATCCAATGCAACTGGTCCAACAGCTGCCTGTACGGTGGCTTTTGGTAACCACGCAAATGATATGAACAAACGTTCACGCATATTTAACTTTGACGGCAAAACAGCTACGATTGTTGCAGCTAAACGAGCAACTAGAGCAAGTAAGAATGCACCGATTCCACGTCCTAACATTTAATAAATTTGGATATAAATATGAAAATATGAATAAATATTAATCAATAATAAATATCACATTTTTTTATTTAGATCACGAACTAATTGATGTTAGACTACCATTGAAAACCTGGAAGCACTGAACGGCCATTTCGTCCCAGTATGAGATTCCTGAGTAGTACGCATTCATGATCTCGTATGTAGGACTCAAAGCTATAGAAAACTGGGCCGGCATCCAACGGTGTTATTCGCGCGGGATTGTGGATGCACACGGCTGAGGAGTCCCACAGTGGGATGAAACGGCTATCCAATGCTTCCAGGTTTTCTATAATGGTCTAAAATCACTTGACTCATGAACTATAATACCTACAAAAACCGCCGTTTTGAAAATAAATATTTATGTAAACTATAATTGTAATTTGCATAGTTTATATATATTGTTCATTTGAAAAGGATCACATAGAAATGTTACATGCAATTCAAATGACTTGAGAAAAATTATATCTATACATAATCAAAATAGTTTAATTTCTAAGGTTACCAATATCAAATAACATCTATTTGCCTTATGTATAAATAGTAATCTAATTGATTATAATCTTCGTCAAATAGTTTTCTAATATATATATTTTATTGTATGAACTCGGATCAAAGCAAATCTAAATTAAAGTCTAACACTATTACAAAAATTACTTTATTTCTGATAGATTACTGAAGAAGATATTTGAAAGAAACAAATACAATAAGATGATAATAAAAATCAGATATAATAGATGATCTATTAAACCACAGGAAAACGCTAATGGTGCAATGAACAAGAACACGGATGGGGACAATCGAATGTATTTAACACAAACTTAATGAACTTGTTAATAAAATCTAACAACCATATAGTAAATCCGCAATTTGCAAAATGTCCATCAATTGACTCAGACTTTTTGTTCCTGTATTTTCATACAAATTGCATTCTGTTTCCATTCTTTACTGTTCGATCCTCTTGTCTCTCTGCTGCCAGACATTCTGTTCACGACTAGAATCATATACTACTTATGTCTACATAAGTAGCACACACCACAATAGTAGTAATAGTAATAATATTAGTATAAATAATGTCAACGCAAATTCTCTTCAAGAACAAATTTTGTTGTATCACTTGAAGTGTATGGAAAAAGAAGACTAAATCAGTAGATAATTTTTATAAATAAAATTTTCATTTCCGTTTTATTTATAAAAGAATGAATTAAAATTGTTTAATCTATGAACTATGAAACTAAACAATTATAATCATTAAACAGTAAAACTCAAGATTGTAGTATTTATCAATATTGAATTGTGAAGATTATTAAGTTCTTGATTGAGATCATGAACTGATTGATGTTGGACCATTATGAAAAGCCTGCACATCTACGATCCTGCTTGTGGGATTCAAACCCAGGGCCTTCGACCTTACACGCGAACGCTTAATCTTCAGATCACTGACCTAAAATCTAATGGTATTATTATGTAACTTGAACCAATTCACGAAATTGAGCGACCATCTTCCATTGTATTAGATGAGATTGTGAATGTTCACTGTTGATGAGTTTAATATTAGAACGAAATAGACGTCCAACTCTCCCAGGTTTCCAATGATGGTCTAGCTTCAATTGACTTATCATGTCAACTATATTAATTTCCTAATTTTCCTCCAAACTATACTTTAACAAAGTGTTTGTGTTCTTCTGTCACAGTAACATGTAAAACAAAACAAAACAAATAAAGGAAGCCTATTACAACAAAAATTATCCCATTTTATTTCATTTTTATTCATGATTTTATATAACTTTTCTAGATCCTAGCAAATTCTACATAAATATATTCAATAAAATCAATAAATTTGGGAACTATTAAAAGTAAATCTTATTAAAGTTCTAATTATAGAATAAACAATATACAATGAAAATTAATCTCATAATTTTTTTATTTAAAGCTTAAAAACTATAATTTGATAAGAAGAATATAAACTAGTTCAAATTGTTACATCTAAATGTATAAAATAGAGAAAATAAGATAATAAGAATGAATTGTGTTGAATGATCATAGTATAATACATTTGAATTTTTTTTAAAAAAAGAATAGGATATCAAATTCACTTAGTGTTGTTTTACTTGTATCTTCCCATTGTTATTTAGAACTGCATTAGATCAATCTCTTGTTGGTATATGTGCGTCCTGTGTGGATTGCCACGATATTTCCTTAAGTCACGAGCGTTTTAAGCAAAGATGGATAGTGACTAGTAGTGGAATCTAGGACATGTGTTTTGTCCTATTTGAGACTAGTCAATTGGATGTACCTGCATCCCAGAGTTGATGTCCATTCCAGGATCACATATACCTACATGAGTCTGATCAATTGCAGTCCTAAATAACAATGGAAAGATACAAGTAAAACAACAACTGAATTTAAACTTTACCCCATTGCACAAGCTGGTTGCTATCAGGACTCAGTAGTTAAGTCGATAACGCGATGGCGTTTAAAGCGAACGGTACTGGGTTCGAGTTACGGAGTCGACAATAGCTCTAGAATGTAGATACCCTCAGCTGACGAGTCCCAAATAGGACGAAACGCGCATCCTGGGTTCCACTGCTAGCCAATATCCATCTTTGCTTAGAATAGGATATCAGTTTACCCTGATTTGTTATAAAAGATTTCGAATCATTTATTTTTCTGGTTGATTTCTTATGCATTACAAATTGCAAACAGATGATCTACAGTTTCTTATAAATTCATTGTTAGTTTAATATAAATAAATTTTTTTTCTCATTGACTGACATATCACTAAAACTGAATATTATTTCAAAGTAATAGAATTTTTCTAATGTGCTCATTAGTGACTAGGTTCGTGACGGCATTGTCAAAATTCCTGTAGGGAGCAGTGAACATTGGAGCTTATCCGTGTCGGATAGAGACAGGTACAATGGGAGATGGTCACGCAACTTCGTGGATTGGTTGAGGTTAGACGTTACTACAGTTGGATACCGGCTTAATGGTCTAGACGTTAAGCGTTCGCATGGGAGGCTGAAGACCCTGAGTTCGAATTCAGGGAGTGGAATCGTGGATGCGCACAGCTGAGGAGTCCTGTAATAAAAAGAAACGGATTTCAATTGCTTCTAGGTTTTCAGTGGTGGTCTAACATCAATCGGTTCATGATCTCAATCAAAAATTTAGTCATCTCCGCAAATAGTGATTTTTCAAAATAGCTATGGTAGTAAACTTTATGAAATTTTCTCAGATTCTTTACTTGTCTCGACAATACATATGAAATTGGTTATAAATGTAAAGCTGAAAAAAAGAGAACTTACTTAAGCCTAGATTTTATAATTTTAACTGTTGTGTCTCAAAATTTCGTTTATTTTTTTGTTGTTTTCTTTTTAGGTAGGTTATAATAACAACAAATTAGTTTAAATATTTGTTGTATTTTAAATGTCTACTGAAGGGAACACTGTGAAATTTGTCTGGTATGAAGAGCCAATAAGAAGTAGCCTAATGCAATGGTCAATCGATGACAGTCAGAATTAACATAATGGTTAAGTGCATTTTATTGGGATCAATCGGTGGATTTTCTAAGGATAGAGTGGTATGCATATATATAAATGAGTATTTGTGCATTTCATTCGTTAGTCCAATTCACTTGCTAAAGTGGTCAGTTGGGGTGTTAGCGCATAGCACATCGTATATCAGTATCGGATTCCAAACATCGCACATCACAACAATAACTACATTGAGATATGCACACAATGTAATGAGTTATCTTCAGTATTATTATGACGTAGGTTCTAAGGATCAACACCCTTACATTATACTTAAACAGAACAACTAAAATAATCAAGAATCTATCTTTAAACAATATGCACACTTTAATAGAATTACTTTTATTCGAAATATATAACAATAATATAAGTGAGAAAATTACCAGTTGAACCACCAGGCATATGTAGTATATCTACTTCTGATCCTATTAAAGAAAACAGAATAGGTTGTACAAACCACCATGTGACTGCCATGGTTCTTCTCATTGAATTCAAACAAGCCAATCCACGTTCAACAGGTGTAGCTGGAACAACAACATCACTAAAAGGTTGTTCTTGATTATTAGAACTATCAAAGTTGTTATCATTATGGTCGTCATCTGGTTTTTCTGTTTCGTTGGATGAGCATTCATCATTTTCTTCAACTTCTTCGACTTTTTCAACAGGTTGGTTGTTGTAAAATGGTGAGTACTGATCCGGAAATGGTGCAACTAGTCAAAAATAGTAAGGTAACATAACTAATCACTACGGAAATGAGATTTAAGTAAGTTAAAAAATAAAACACTATTTAATTAAATATTTCATGCGATATACATTAAATTAGTCATAATTATTAAAAACATTGTGATGAAAATCATCCACTATCATATAAACTTACGAATTCTACGCCTCGACCTGTTCATATGACGTAAAGCGTTTGCACTAGATGGACTCCTTCCTCGGCGAAACTGCTGAGGCACGGAAAATGATTCCAGTTCGTAGTGAGCAGTGGGTTCAGGTAGACTAAATCTTCGAGATCCTTTTGGTTTTTGAAAAGTGACTGTAGATGTTTGCTGAGTCTGTTGCTGGTAACTATTCTGTTGAGGTTGTTTGGCCAAAGATCCCTCTACTTTTTTCTCAATACCAGTAGCCGCTACTGCAACAGCTAAAGATGGAAGATCTCCTCGTTTTCTGTCACCATCAGATGCGAGACGATTACGAAGGCTGCTGCGGTTACTATGTTCACCCGATGAATGCTGGCCATACTGCTGACGCAAAATTGAGCAATAGTAAGGATGAAATTCTACCAAGGATTCAAGTATGTTTGGGTTGTTTAGATCTTTCTGGTGCTTTGTCATACTTTCTGAGTCAACATCATCATCAGAATGCCTATATTTTTCGTCAATGGATTCAAGCTTCGAAGGAGCTGTCTTAAGGTTTTCTTGAGAGTCTTCATTAGTAAGGACAGAATCTCTTGACGAAGATAGATTATGTTTATCCGTTTTTGGCTTCGCTCGATAATTTGAATTTTCATAATGTGGGTTTTGTGCATTGTTTGATGATGATTCCGTTGATATACTTGTTGACTGCGTTAAACGCCATGGAAATCCGCGCCGCCAACCAGTTGCCACGATAAAAGCTAAAGTTAAACAAGACAATGCACCTCCACCTGGTAAATGTATTGCGACCGAACCGATTAACCCAGTTATTGCAAAGCAAACAAGAAGTATACCTCGAATAAAATGGGAATGCTCCTGAAATATAAAAAAATATCTTTAGTCAACATGAATCTTCCTATTACTGATGTGCATTCGTGACCTAGGTTAGTTGGAAAAGTAATTATAGAGCCAGATCTATTCAAAAATATATATTATTTACGCTGTTCAGGAAAAATAGGTAAAAACAACTTTTCCACATTCTACCCACATTTCGTTGTATTCAGCTTCTCTTGGCAAGTAATAATCATGTTATATTTATTGGTGAAACTATTTTAAAAACCAGTCTATCAATTTAAGATGAATTATATGTAGGTGGTCGGTAAGCTTTGTGTCTTCCAAATAAATTCACTCGCTAACCAGTTGCAGTATGCAAATAAATGTTTGTCGTAACTGACACTCTGATAGATATTTATCCACAAGCTTAGGCCTTGTAAATATGGGAGATTATTACACCGCTGATGATATTTTTATTTGATCTTAATCATGGTAAGTCTTTGATTACTCTATCAAAAATTTTACATATTCAAAGGAGATAGTTACGATTGTATTCTCATTATTTTGAAAGTGTCAAGTGAATAATTAACTGGTAACTGTTTTCTGTTTTATGATTTTGTACTTCACTACTAAAGCTCTAGTTCATCTACTGCTTCTTACGTGTATTTGTTAAAATACATATGATTTCTACCTGGAAATGCGACTTTTTGCTTTGGTTATTGAATACAATAACATCATGTCTCACATCTAAAGTACCAAGGTAAAAATAATAAAGCCATAATCTAAACTCTCAACTTTGTATTCAGTTATATGTTCACAGTGGTTTATGTCATTCATTTCCACAAAAAGAAATCAATACTGTTACAAAATCAACTGTAATGGTCGCAATTTAAATTATTGATGAAAACTTACGAGTTTTGGTGGTGGAAAGAAAAGTAATAATATTCCCACTGCTGCTCCAAATGAAGCACCTATGATTGCTTCAAGTGGTCCCCAAAATAATGTATTTACTAAACTTTTTTCTGTGGATAAAGCTACACCGAGGGCAACACCAAATCCAGTAATCGCAACAACATCATCTAAACTGGAAGCAGCAACAACGAGGGTAGGTATACCTTCAGCTACACCCCATCCTGTAACTTCTAGGCGCATCATATTCGGCACTATCACAGCTGGTGACACAGCTGCACAAACGAATCTATAGTTATAAGAGATGATAAGTAAAGTAAATTATTATTAATTTTAAACAAATAGTCTAATTTGTCTTGTAAAAATTATGCTTTATAACATAGGAAAATATCTGATGAACTAACAGGAGAGCGAAGCAATGAGATTTAAGATAGCAGGTCTTGGATTTTAAAGCAAAACTGATTCATCTATACGGTAAAACAGCTATTTTGGCATTATAGCTGGTGTTAATTTATGGAAACTCTAATTACTAACCGTAACTTTTTAATCCTATTTCCTCAAACGAATTTATAACCTTCTATGACCCTAGTAAGTGGTTGAATTTTCTCAATGTCATTTTAACATCGCTAAAAGGTCGTGCATAAATTATAGTCTCATTCCCCCCCCCTCCCGACGAATAAAATCTCAATAATCCCAACAATTTTAAAAATTTAGTAGGTGGTTATATTCTGATTAAACCATTTTGAAGTATATTAAATGTTCATTACATTAATTTACGTATACAAACAAGAAGCTTTACTAAAAGATATACTGACTGGTTAAGGTATAATTTTCCCACCAGCAGTAATGAGATACTTCATAAACGTAGTAAGAAGATTGTATTTTACTGAATAATTATCTATTCGCTATTATGTAAACCAAACAAATTTATCAGCAATGAAAAATTTTCCTTCATGGAATTCACTTTCAAAAACTAATCGTTTTTATTTAAGATAATTAATGTGATGGAAAACTTTAACTGATTGTCGTTCATCTATTGAATCCCCTCTGTAAGAAAAAAGTAAAGTTCCTGATGTCTTTTCTAGACATACTACTTGAAAGGAGAAACGTTTAGACTATGAACAGGTTCATTCATGATAAATCTACGAAGAATGAACAGACAATGAATATTCATTGCTTTAGCCTTATGAAAAGAGAAAAATATCATTTATCTCCCCACCTCTTGTATCATAACAATCACAGAAAGTAACATAGAAAAGGAACTTCAGTCCTTAGGAGCTAGTTTTTTATTGACAATGGTTATAGTCTGATGTTTACTGAAATAAATATAAAACAGGGGTTATTTAAAAATAATGAAAAGACAGCAGAACATATATAATGTTATGGGATTCAAGGGTAATACCTAGGATAAAATCCTGCGATGTCAAATGACCTGGCCATTAGTGGAAAAATTTTGTACAGTTTTATTGCAAGTGTTTTACACTAGCAGCCCACAGATGGACATCTCGGTAAATTCGATTTACTTAGTGTGACCAACTAGAGGCACGTTTATTTGTTCCACAAAGGTTGTTTATAAAAAAATCTCATAATACGTCATCTAGCTAAGTAAAGGATTACGCATAATTATGAAATATGCTCTGGAATAAACAGTTGACTATGATCATGCAGTATTGGACTCTAGATTTAGCATCATTATTAAGTCTGAACCGAATTTTCAGAAAACGTTTGAACACATCTCTTCTGTATCACAGAATTATTTCTAATAAGCATTATGGAGTCACATTCATGTGTACAAAACCAACTTGTCAGATCTAAGCAAATGTGAATAATGGTTTACAGTGGAATCCAGGACGCGCATTTCGTCCTATTTGAGATTCGTCAGCTGGATGTACCTGCATCCTAGAGTTAATGTCCAATCAAAAACTGGGACGTAGTAACGTTCGCTCTAAACACCAACACTGAATTTTGATAGCCACTTGCTTTTGCAATGAAGTGAAGTTTCAATTCATTTTTGTATTTTTTTGTATGATCTCTTTATTTGTTATATGCCAGTTTCCTCCAGATTTCTATATGTTCTGTTATATTCTATTTCTTCATTTATTTAATAGATAATTATTATCACTTCTATCTTAAAATCACATATTTTCTTAACCTTCCTAATTTGTCTTACATCCGAACATATTCCGTTAACATTCACCCATTCCATTTATTCTGTTGTTATTATTATTACCATTATTATTATTATTATTATCTGATCACCGTCAATCAAGTCCTAGTAGCATATTGAATAATCTTCATTAATCAACTTTAAAAGTTTCACTAAAATCACTTATCATGTAGTTTTTTCGATTGATATATATCTCTCATATATCAATATTTCACTCATTTATTAATTATCTGTTTGACCCATCATTATAAACTTCATTCCATGGAGTTTTACTCATTATGCGCATTTATACTAACATAATAACAACTAATCATCACATTAAATCTCTTATGATAATATATAATCTTGTACTATTTTCCAAAATGAAATCATTGAGAAAATAAAAATAAAAAAGTTTCATTACCTAATTGTTGAATTCATGAGTCAATTGAAGCTAGACTAACATGAAAAGCTTGAAATCACTGGATGGCCGTTTTATCCTAATATAAAACTCTTCAGAGAGATTGATAGGTTCTGAGTTTGAATCTTGCAAGGTTGGATCGTGGATACTCACTGCTAAGAAGTCCCACAATAGGATGAAACGGTCATTCAGTATTTCCAGGTTTTTAATGATGGTTTAACCTTAATTAACTTATGAGTTCAACTATTAAATAATATAATTAGTTAATTGAAATTATTTATGAATTTTTAGATTATATGAAAGTGATAATTAATTTTAATTGACTTTTCAATGAAATCAATTTGTTATTAAATAATTTCGAATATTGATTTTTTAAAAACCAAAAAAATCCTCAGAGAACTTATATAACTAATGATAGGTGAACACATTGGATAGAGGGTTTATAAATGATATATGTACGTGTTAAAGTGAACTAATCTATATGTCAATCTTTTAAAATTATTCAGTATACTATTTTGATTTTATTTTTATTCATAATGAAAGTTTTAATTGGCTATATTATCTGTTCTATTATTATTGCTAAAGGATGAATTGGAAGTTATATATATATATATATATATATATATATATATATATATATATATATATATATATATATATATATATATATATAATCTATTATACATATCAACAGATATAGATAGTAAAACTGGCTTCTTTTCTATTTCCTAACTGATTAAAATGAAAAATAGTTGCTAATAATACTATAAAAATAAATACGGAGGTGGTTTTGAACAAATCAACAAATGACTTTATAAATATCAAAAGTTAATATGTTTGGTAATGAAAGATATTTTAAAATATCAATAGTTGAGATCATGAATCAATTGAAGCTAGACCATCATGAAAAACCTCGAAACACTGGACGTCCGTTTCGTCCTATTGTGGGACTCTTCAACAATGTGCATCCACAACAACGCCTCACGGCATTCGAGCCCACGACCTATCAGTCACGAGCGCCGTCCAGTGCTTTCAGGTTTTCCATGGTGGTTTAGCTTCATTTGACATATGATCTCAACTATTAAAAATACTACAATCTCCACAAAACCCCTTCTGAAATTTTAAAATAGTTGAGCATGCCAAAAAACCAAAGGAGCTAAATGAGACGTTTTTTAAGTAAACTGACCGTAAATTATGAACAATATTAAAATAGATCAATAAAATAGCTGAGTTATTTACAAAATAATTATGTATTAATATTGCATAATTAATGATTAGATTACTTAGCTAAAAATCATTGGTCAACTATGTGTAAACTACAATCAAACTTCCGTCTTAGATTTGTTATTTAAATCTTCCCATTGATGTTTCAGACTACAATTGATTAATATCAGAAGGGGTTTTTTGGAGATTGCAGTAATTTCAGTGGTTAAGATCATGAGTCAGTTGAAGCTGGACATTAGTTGAAGTTAGACATTAACACCGTTGGATGCCGGTTCAGTGGTCTAGTGGTTGAGTGCTCGCGCGCAAAACCACTGGGTCCTGGGTTCGAATCGCTCATGGGGCAAGGTCGTGGATGCGCACTGTCGAGGAGTCCCACAATAAGACGAAATGGCCGTCTAGTGTTCCCAGGTTTTCCATGGTGATCTAGCTTCAACTAACTCATGATCTTAACCATTGAATTTACTACTATTGGCATGCATGCATTCAAATGGGATGAAACACACGCACCAAGTTCCAGGCTCGGAGGGAATGTCAACTCTGCAGTGAAGGTGCATCCAGCTGAAGAGCTTCGAATGGTACGAAACCAGCTCTGGATCATTTAACTACTGTAAATACTAAGAAATTTAAATAGCTTCAGTAGTCGAGTATTTTGACTCCGTCGCTGTTTAAAATAAATTATGATGAATGAAATCACAAGTAAATTTAGCTAATCTTTGATTTATTCTGACATATATATATATATATATATATATATATATATATATATAGAGAGAGAGAGAGAGAGATGGCAAGTTGTTAAAATCATTTATTTATTACTTTTTGTTATATAATACTTAAATTATATTCATCTCTCATATAATGACTTACACTTAATGATTTAGAACACATTTACAAATCTTTATCACTAGAGGAAATAAATAAGTGACAAAATTGATACATTTTATAATAAATTTTCCCTGTAGGTGGTTAAACATTTATTTAAAGATATGACATTTTAAAACTATAGAGAATTTTTATTATATTCAATCGAAGGAAGTAAATTTGCATAAACCGATACATTAGAATATTACGTGGGTGTATTATATATACATATATATGACTATTTATAATAAACTTTGTCAAAGATTTCAGTCATTCATAAAGTTGTGATTATAACTAGAACATAATATACCTCATGCTTCAGTACACATTAAGATTACTTAAAGAGTCTATTTATAAATAATTTAATAACCCACAGTGATTTGAACTAATATTAAACAGATTTTAACTCGTTTTAGTGGCTGAGATAATGAGTCAGTCGAAGTTAAACCACTATGGAAAACCTCGAATCACTACACGGCCATTTCGTCCTAGTATGGGACTCCTCAGCAGTGCGCATACACGATATCGCCTCATGAGACTCGAACCCAAGACCTATCGGTCTCACGTGAGAACGCTTATCCACTAGACCACTGAGCCGGGTTGTATCCAGCGATGTTAATGTCTAACTTCAATCAATCCACGGAATTGAGCGACTTATCTACGATTGTCATCATCGAGTCACTATCTCACAACAGACCTGGTTGAACTCCACTGGTAACTGCTTCTCACCAGAACTCCAGTATATACTTCTTGAAGCCAGTCATTGGTGAGCATATGTTGATTCATATCATGGGGTTATGTGGATATTAACTCTATGGTTAATATGATATATTTCTATTAATTTAAGGATATTTTTTAAAATAATTTAAACCCCATTACTTGCTAAAATTCTAATTTCCATCTTTTATCTAAATAAAATTTGAAGAATCATATGATCACTTTATTATTAAGGATGAATGAATTTCAGTTTAAATCATCTCTTTATCATATTTATCTTCATTTATTATCTTAATCAATATCTTGGAACAATTTATGGAAAGATTTGACTTTCCACACTGATATTGCTTATTATCCATTAATTTGCTTTTATAACTTTGAATGTCTTTCATATAAAATCCTACGACATATTTTACTTTAAATGAACAATCTATTTTTCAAATCAACGCATAAATGGCTATATAAAACATAAGAAGGGGAAGATTCCCTTTGTTATAAACAGACCATCAAATCATAGATAACCATTAAAATTAATAATTAATAATGAGAGAGAAGACTATAGATTAGTAATGTGATACTGCTAATATGTTACAGTTAATTTATATTTTGTTTATAAAGACGATGATTATCCACTTACTTAACTGGTCATGAGATATCAAACTAACTCTTATATAAACATGTCCTACCTTTTTCTTTTAAATACAATTATATCAATGATTTCACATACATATCCAAAATTGTATACTTTAATAGATGAAAAGACAGATATTTATGTGCTTTCCATCAGCTTTAAAACAAATTCACTTAGTAGAATAGCATAACACATCACTAGTATTTTTAATGATTATTCAGAAGATAGGAGACTCCATAATAATGATCAAAATGATTTTAAATGGCTAATTATTATTAAAATAATTATAAGTTATTGTGCTTCTTCGAAGTTATATTCACTAAATAATTGAATTTCTTAATGTGTACTTTGAACCAACAATTCTCATTATATAACGATAACCCCTACTACTCAAATATTTATATTAATTGTTTTTTTTGTATTTTCATTGATGGATTTTTATTATTTCATGAGTTCATAGATTTTTATCAAGAGATTCTGTAATTTTGTATTTGGTTACAATCGGTTGTCCCTATTTGTGTTATTGTTCACCATACCCCCCCAAAAAAGATCACCTAACATTTCAAAAAAATTGTGCATGAGATATTAAGTCACTTAGATCAGTGACCATACAGATGATTGAATAGTGGCATTTGATCAGAACTAAAAACTAAACAAGCGTCACCCTTCTCATTATTCTGTGATCGGTCAGTGAAAACGATTGCATGCTTTTAAAGAAACATTTTATATTTGAAAGGTTGAAGTTAGACATTAACAACGTTGGATGCCGGCTCAGTGGTCTAGTTGGTTAAGCACCTGGCGCGAGCCTGATAGGTCCTGGGTTCGAATCCCGCGGGGGGCGGGATCGTGGATGCGCACTGCTGAGGAGTCCCATACTAGGACGAAACGGCCGTCCAGTGCTTCCAGGTTTTCCATGGTGGTCTAGCTTCAAGTGATTCATGATTTTAACTATTGAAATTACCAATTCTCCACAAAACCCATTCTAGTAATTCATGATATCCAAAAAATTCTCCGAATTCAAATTTCTTGAACATTTGGTTTATGGCTAATAAGTAACAATCTGTGACCATCTTATTCTATTATTACGTTTATAACAAGGAACTTTGATATCAAACGTAAATCCCTCTAGTTTCAAATGTTGAAGAATCCAACTATGTAGTTTGCGTATTCATGTCAGAGTAATGAAAAACATACATTATGCTTTCTATTTTGTGAATATCTGCTGGCCGTTTGATCTGAAACTGGATTTTTTTAAGAAAACAATGAAGTAAAATATTATTTAAGACATGATCTCAGAAACATGGACGTTGTTCTCACAGCTTTCCCTTCTTTACAGTATCAAGGGATAACTGTTGGATATTTACGTCGTTTACTTTCGCTTACAAGGAAAAGTAAACCAAGTTTAATTACTCGAACAAACTATAGAAATCACTTCCATTTGACAGTGATCGCTGACGAATTTTATCGGTATGATAACAGAAACTCTGAAGAAAAACAGACTGGAGATCACTTCAACCGAGGAATCTTCAGCAGTATGCATAGTATAAATATTTATATACATATTTTATATATAAACAGAGATGGAATATGGATTGCAGTGAATTTCAGGACGCGTGTATTGTCCTATTTGGGACTCGTCGGCTGGATGTACCCGTATTCCAGAATTCATAATTACACACTTCGCAACTAAATGCTGCCTTATTGTTCATCTTTCATATATTTTGCTCATCTTTAACTTGGACAACTCTGAATATCTATATGATCCCTTTTTCGTTAATATTAAGGCGATGTTGAGTACAATATACGCTCAGTTACTCATCGTGAAAGTTAAAAATGTATTTGCTTTTTATAACATAATCTATGATATTTATTTGTTTAAAAATCGCTATCATATTAAACGACTAATACTTGAACGAAGAATATTCTTTTCGATAAATTCTTTACAGGTTCTACAATTATATATCCAAATTAATAATCCGAAAAATGACCAGGATAAGGGTAAAGTGCATCGTTGAAGTTAAAGCATCTGAATTTAGAATTGTCAAACAAAATAGAATGGCTAAGTGGATGACGCGATAGCGTTTGAAGCGAACGGTACTGGGTTCGAATACCGGAGTGAACATCATTACTGAGATGCAGGTACATCCAATTGACGGGTCCCAAATAGAGCGAAACATGTGTCCTAGATTCAACTGCTAGCCACTATCCATCTTTGCTTATAATGGTTGTGATTTAAGGCAATATCGAGGCAATCCACACCGGATGCACATATGCCAATAAGCGACTGATCAATTGCAGTCCTAAACAGCAATAGGAAGATACAAGCAAACAACACCAAGTAAATTTAAAATAGAATAAAATTGTTCATGATGAATATCATTAAACGCACGGCAGTTTTTGTATGACCCATATGGAATGTTAACTTGAATCAGCTTATATGTTAAATGAAAATGTTAAGTGATCCATGATCAGAATAGATATGGGTCAGACAGGATGAGAGAAATAATAGTGACTCATGATCTTAATCATTGAAATCACTACAATCTCCACAAAAGCCTTTCTGATAATAATCAACATATGCTCACTAGTGACTGGCTTCAAGAGGTACATCCTGGGGTCCTAGTGAGAAGTAGTGACCAGTGGAGTCCAACCAGGCCTGTTGTGAGATAGTAACTCACTGAAGACATTAGTGGATGTGTCGCTCAGTTTCGTGGATTGATTGGAGTTGGACATTAACACCGTTGGATGCCGGTTCAGTGATCTAGTGGTTAAGTGCTCGCGCACGAAACCACTGGGTCCTGGGTTCGAATCTCGCAGGGGGCAAGGTCGTGGATGCGCATCGCCGAGGAGTCCCATAACAGGACGAGACGGCCGTCCAGTGTTTCCAGGTTTTCCATGGTGGTCTAGCTTCAAGTGATTCATGATCTTAATCATTGAAATAATAGTGCAATTACAATTCGAGCAAATATTTAGTGAAAGACTAATTTGTGTAAAAAATTATTAGAAAAACATAACAAGGTGGAATGAATGAGAAGAAAATGAATCTTGCATTGGCGAGATTAATAATGATGTTTAACCACTAATAATAATAATAATAATAATAATAATAATAATAATAATAATAATAATAATAATAAATACAAAGATTTGTGAATAATGATAACAGAGATAATTACATTTGACTACGAAATGTCGTAAGTACAATAATGTAATTAGGTCATTCAATAGCTAAGATTACTATTGATTAATTGGCCTTGAGGTTGGCCAGGCGAGGAGAAGTGGTTGAAGATATTTCTTTTGTACGCATAGTTCCTGTTTCTTAATCCGGATGGCTACTGCTTCAGCCGTTCGAAAGACTTTACTTCTGACAAGTTTTGGCAAACAATTACTGACCTTACAATTTACAATATTCATGTTACGGAAAGTTATTTCAGAGAAAATTTAATTGATTTTTGTTAGGTAGTATATAGATTAACACAAACTTTCATGCAACAAATTTATTGACTGCTTGTTAAATGCTCACAAGAAATCGATAACATCACTTACATATCCACCTTACTTTAATACGAAAAATTAACACTTACCCTAATATAGCTCCCCATGACCAAGGCCATCCAATCAAAAAACGGCTAAATAGCATCAAAGATGTCGCTTCTGTAAGGCATGGTATGAATGCAAGACGAAATACACTACCACATACTTGTTTCAATGCTTGAGGATCAAGACCCAAACCAGCCCGAGTTAGAATTGTCGTCAAAGCAAGTTGTCTTAAAATTCCAGATAAAACTGGATTTACCAGTAAAAGAGCAGCAAACTGAGTACGTGGATCGGTTATATTAAAAGGATATTCTTTCTCATTGTAAGAAGTGGAATTTGCTAAACTAGTATTGTATCCATAAGGAACACTTCCACTTGGTAATTGACCTGTGTGGTAAATCTGTTCCGGAATCAAAAGTCCACCAATATTTCTCAGAAACAATCCTCCAAGTAACATACCTATTACATGTTAGGAATCAACAAAGAGACATAAACGATAACAAATTTCAATATTAATTTTTTTGCTTTGAAAAAGTGAACAATACAATCAGAGGACATCTAATTTATTTATCGATATGAATAACACTAGACCAATGTTAATAATAAACGTGGACAACAGGAGTATCTGAGATACAAAATACTCTTAAGATTAGGACTGTCTAAAAGTAACTACTAACTTCACCAATTATTTTCATATTCATTAATGAGATATATACTTACATATTTTTGGCTTTAAACAAAGTTACACACTCATTCACTTCCGACAACGTTTAGCGTTTAGTATATTGTTATTTAATAGACATTATTTTGCAAAACGTTTGATGGCTATTTTAACTGAGGGATTATTTAGGTGAACGTTTTTATATATAAATACCATTAGTTCTATGTGATATTTCATACTGTCTGTTTACATGATTAATAATGTTCGCTTTCAACATTTTAGTTACAGACGATACTATGTATGAAACTTAAAGAGTATGTTGTTTTTCTGGGAATCACATATTTACTGAAATCTATAAAAACTTCCGTTATGTCTATTACCAGACCAAGTTTGATAATAATCTAAGTTATTTTTCTTCAATGTTGAATTGTCTTTTGTTTTATCTTCATTATAGTAGATTTCTTTTATTGTATAAGATGTAAATTATCAAAGCTGATCAATAAAGATGTTTAAAATGGTCTATTATAACTATTTCAAATATTGAATTTGTTTTAATATTATGACATATTTTCAGATTAGTTATTTCATAAATGTTAACCAATCTCAGTTATCATCTCTCCTATTGATTAAAAAATCTAATATAATCTTCCTATTTAGTGTTAAACCAATATTTGAAAGTTTATTCATAAAGACTGGAACTTAGAAAAGAAAACAAAATAAAAAAACAAACACTTCGTTGACGTATTTTATGAATGTGTACATCATAAGTAGTTGACATTCGGAGCTTCTATAGATTTAGGAAATTTATTCTAAATATTGTAAACAGTATTGAACTTAAATTAACAAACTTAACCGAGATACAACTAAACAATAAAAAGTCGATCTGACAATATATAATGAACATATCATACGTTATTTCCCCCCCCCCTATGAAACTATTTGTATATAAACCATTTAACCACAATTATTATTCGGATAAGTTTATGTGTACACACCTTATTCCACTGGTGATTTGTTTCTTATTTAGATAAGTCACTTCAAAATTTTCATTGTTATATTTTTCGTAAATTGAAATTGGATAGATGCACATTTTAATTTTACTAATGGTAAATTTTTAGCTATAGTTATTAAGATCTTATTTTATATCGCGATGTAATCGCTTTTTATTTAATATTTGCAAAAGTACTTTACATAATAACTTTTAAGTGCTTGTTAGAACATGTCAGTTACTAAACCAGTTACCAAGTGTTCAGTAATCTATATTTATCGTTTTATCTTAATTTTTTATCACTGTAGTAATAAATAGTACAATCTTTTTTTAAAATTTAAATACTGGAATAGAATTTATAACTTAAGAAATTGATAATATCAGGTTTTAAAAAACAATGAAATAGCTGAACAGTGTTTTTCTATTAAAATATTTACAAAATCAAGCAAAATCAAAGTTATTACTAATTAATATAATTATTATTGGTACAGCCGAGAGTGAGAAAAGTCAGCTCTTCCTTTCCAAATGCTCTCACATAGCCACGTGCATGCAACCACTGCCAGAGAAGTCCTACTCACTGACTTCTTGCGGTATTACTGTTGTTTATGAAATTTAGAGGACGGAAAGCGAATGTCCAGCGCTTTAACCACTTTGGTAGATACGGAAGTTTTATCTAGAGGAGTTGGAAAACCCTGATTCAAAACCAATGGTGCACATGGGCTCCAGTATCCTGAAGGAACAAATAGCGTATGAACCAATCGTTGGTGATCGGCTACTACGGGACTAAATCTCCTGATGATGCTCCGCTGCCTTGTGGATTAGACATTTAGGTCGAAGGCTCTAGTTGTGGGCCCCCCAAGAAAACCACCTGCTCCGGTTTGAGCAACTGGCCAGTATCGTAGCATAAGTTGAATGATTTAGGTGGTGCATACCTATTTGGTGCCTTGTTGTACCAGTGTTTATGTGTTTAAATAAATAAAAATAATATGATTATTACATACTTGATCTTAATTACAGTTTATTCAAAATCAATGGGGATTGTAGTGCGAAATTCTCCAGTTTTCTAAGGCTTATGATATTTTTGTTGCTACAACTTTTCTTCAAAAATTTAAATACATAGAGAATATAGTTCCATATTTTAGGCCAAATCAACGTTTTAATAGTTGAGGTCATGAGTTAATTGAAGCTAGACCACTATACAAAACTGCAAGCACTGGACAGCCGTTTCGTCCTAGTATGGGACTCTTCAGCGGTGCATATCCACTATATCGCCTCACGAGATTCCAACTCAGGACCTGTCGGTCTCTCTCATAAACGCTTAAACATTAAACGACTGAGCCGGTCGGTATCCAACGGTGTTAATGTCTAACTTCAATCAATCCATGAAATCGAGTGACACATCCACTATTGTCATCAGCGAGTCACTATCTCATAACAGACCTGGTTGAAGTCCACTGGTAACTGCTTCTCACCAGAACTCCAGTATATATTTCTTGAAGCCAGTCTCGTCAGATCACATGAGTTTAACTGTTAATGGGTTACCATATTTTACACAAGAGATTACAAAGCCATACAGAATGACTTGACAGTTATTTGGAATAATGATATATTTTAAGAAGATTATCACCATTACAAACTGAATTTGTGTCATATTTTTTTGGAACTTAAGATATAGAAGTTCAATCAAACAACTAAACTTTTATTTCTATTGTAACCAATATGAAAAAATCAATTTATTGTTGGTCACTAAGCATCAATTCTTAAGTAAGTAATTGAATTGAATATTGTGTTATACAAGTAAAATTAATTCATACAGTTCTTTCAAACAGTTTAGTTTGAGTCAGGTCATTATTGTCATTTATTGGATTAGTGTAAAGATTCATACTATGTCTATATTTATGAAGTTTAATTATAATAATAGACAGATAATAATCGATAAAACTTTTAATCACAAATTCAGAAAATTATTTATTTCATGTATAGTTTGTAACTCAGTTACTAACTTACTAACAAGTACGTACAAATCATAAAAACTTTAGATACTAGATGATTTTACGTCAAAAGCTAAGATAATTTGTTGAATCAATTAAGAAAACTCAGGAAGTAATGAACAGAATTCTGTTCTATTTTGGAACCATCAACAGCCTATTACTAATTACTTTGTCCTGGACTAAGCTCGTAAACTTTAGGTTCTACAATCCATAGGCTAGCAGTTTCCCTTAATTTAATTGGTGACAAAGTACGATTAAATTAATTCATCCAAAACAACTAGGTTCATAGTTAGCCTGCTATTAAATTTGCCCATTTTTCCTTAGAGCTTTAGGCCTGTGAATATATACTAACTGGGAAATCCTTTTCTATTATATGAATTGCTATCATTAAAATAAAAGTTAATTTCCTGTTAGTTGATAGTTAAAAAAATAACTTACGTAGATAGAAACAACATTTGCAAAATTAAAATCCGGGTTAACACTATTCATACAAAGTTAAGGAAATATGAACACTCTCACTATTGTCATGCTTCATTTTAGCATCATCTTTAATTCATATGAATTAATTGATTATGAATATTGCTTCAAAATGTATTCCTTGAAGACTTCAAGCTGTTACTAAAATCATTAAATTGTAAGTAGTCGATCACATCAATTAGAATGCAAGATTCGATTAGTTCATGTCATAAACTGTTTTCTTTCAGAGAGTGATTATTATTAATGGGGGAAGAAAGATAAAGAAGATTGAAATAAGCTGAAGCATTACATTTTTGTTAACGATTGAACAATCAATTTAAAAGCGGACATTTTTGATGAAAAGCATAAAAGTTAAAGTGTTTAAGTATAAATTAACAAAAACGAATGGAATTATTATTAGTTTATATTCTCTTTATAACTTTGAAGCATTTACCAGTAAAGGGGTTGTGAAGATTATTAAGTTTTTGATTTACATCATGGACGGCCGTTACGTCTTATTGTGGGACTCCTCAGCAGTGTGCATCCACGATCACGCTCGCGGGACTCCAACCCAGGGTCTTCAGTTTCATTTATTGAAGCCTCCTATAATTATATATTTTTCTTTGATATATCCGATACATCTTAAAAACATTTGAGATATCAAAATTCAATAAGTTGATGAAAAACATCTGGAAAGTAAACAATATCTAAGGCGTACTCCATAGTCCTTTAGCCCATACTGATTTCATTATATTCATAGTTGAAGTAACACATTTTAAAACTAAATTAAATTTGAAGACTCAATCTTTCCTATTCAACACCATGTTCATTATTTGCTAATTGATAATAATAAAAAAGGGTACCTCCTAGTTTACATTCTTAACATTATCAGAAAGTATTATATTCAAAGTAATCAAGCTAGATATACCGTATAAAATTATTTCGGTCTTTAATGAAAACAAAATGTAAGGGGATTTCACCATATGTTTCAATTATTATTATTTATCCAAATCAATGGTAAATACAAAAATATTTTCCGAATCAAAAAAAACATCAAGCTAATTTGTTTATTCAATTCGATTTAAAGTCTAATTTTTAAAGTTTACAATTGTAAACATTAACCAGTATTAAGATGGTGGAGTAGATTTGTAGCTAAAGTAGATGATTTTAAGAGAGTTTTCTTTTATGAATAAGACCAAACCAACCAGCTCAAAGAACAAAACTCCATCAAAATTAACCAATATTTTTTAAATATATTGCGTAATAATAAACATTTTTGTAAAATCAATTTTTATTAAAAATTGTTTACAATTTGTTACCACTATATAATTATGTTTACTTTACTCTGAAATAACATCGTCAT